GTGTAATATTTACAATAATTTTGTTAAATAGTAAAGATTAGTCAATTTTTGTCTGCAACATGAACACAATAAAATACAATATTTACTTGTTTTGTTCAACAAATGTATTTAAAGTAAAAATATTTTTCCTATTCTATTGTGAAAGTAAAGTAAATATAAAATAAATAATTTTACGATGATTTCTGTGATTTAAAAAAGTCCTAAATGTGAAATTCTGTTTATTTCTTTCTCTCGATGGAAAGAGTACTTGATAAATCTACAACGATTACTTATTGATCTGAAATAAACTCAGTATCGTTCTAGCTGGAATCTGAAGAAACAAAACTCTTTTATCTGCTGTGTTCTATAAAAATGTATCAAAGTTAAAGCCATTCTAGAAAATCTTCAATAAAGTCTTAAATAAAAAACCGATAATTTTCCTTCATTCAATAAAACAAACAAACCTTCGGATAGAAATTCTGACTTGGCAGAGTTTAGGGTGCAGATAACGGCGACAGAGATCATATTATAGGATTTAGGATTGCTATTATAAAAGGTTTGTATCTGAAGGTCTGTGTGAATGCGTCTTTGTAATGCCGGGGTTACAGGTTAGGATGGCTAGCAGGCGCGTGTTTGGCGTTTGATAGGATCGACTCGTAGCACTTAGAATACTGTAGCGGAAAAGACGTGGTCTATTGACGTACGCAGCCTTATCATTGGCTGCTAGCCTTAGTGTAATGGCGGTGTGGGTCATATGATTTACTTCGCTTTTGGCTGGTGGTGAAACAATCTGAATAATTAGGAAGTCCGAATATGGGAAAGAATCCAAAAATGATTAGAGACGCAGACGGATATAACACCTCCGTGCTGAAATGTTAGCCATGTTGAAATCTCCTGCTGCTGTCAACGTCCAAAGGCAAATCTTTCCCAGGGAAATGGAAAATTTATGATTATGGACAGGATTAATATCAGTAGCTCACTTGCAATATGCGAATTATAGTTGATATACATACATACATACATACATACATACATACACACACACACGTATATAAATATCTATATACATATATATGGAATATATATATATATGTGTGTGTATATATATATACATGTGTGTTTATGTGTGTGTGTCTCTCTCTCTCTCTCTCTCTCTCTATATATATATATATATATATATATATATATATATATATAAATGATCAATACAAATATTACATTTTTTACTTAGTTGACTGGAGAAACTTCTTGTAATCGTTCGGTCCTCTCATCAGGAGGTTTCAGCCATTGACTCCCGAGTTTCTCATTTTCATTATTTTTATATTAAGTAAAAAAATATTTATGCGCTATTTTTTGGTTTGAATTTTTTTTATTAATCTTTTACTGTGTTTGTGGTTTTGTGTCTCTGTATGTTTGTATGTGCATGCCTACTTATATATGTGTGTATTCATGTGCATATATGTAGAATACCCGGGTTATTACTCTTTTTCATTTTTTTCTGATTTTCTTATGCTCTCTCTCGCTCTCTCTCTCTCTCTCAATTTCTTTTCTTCCGTTTTTCTTTATATTTATCACCTGAAACGTTATTTTTAATTGATACCAATGTTTGAAATAGACGCCCCATGTTTTGTTTTTTTAAAACTAAGCACCTCCATTAATTCGCTGAAAAAAAAAAAAAACAAAGAAAAATGCATAATAGTTTTAGCGCTTTTTTTCCCGGTAAATACACATTCCTTTGGAAATTTTTGCAAAAATTAAATAATTGTCGGATTTTACTAAAACTTTCAGTCCTCATCCACAAATGAAAGTATTTGTGAAATTATTTCTTTTATAAAAACTTGATAAAAAATATATTTTTTTTACCTATGTTACCCCATCTGACTTAATTTGATGAAATTAAATTTTAATTATAAAATTTCTTTTATTAGTTCAAACAGGACGCCTTGGAAAATGTAAATAACAATTTTTTTAAACAGTTTCTAATTTTAAAAAAACCTCTTTTGAATTGAAAATTAAAAATCAAATAAAGTTAAGACATTATTTAATTAGAAAGTTTTTTAATTTATTTTAAAAATAATATTACTTAAAGACACTATTGACTTAATTAAAAATATTTGTTTCGATGAATAATGCATTTTTGCACAAATTCTTTTCATTTTCTAAATTTTAATTATAGTAATTTATAAAGTTTCAAATTTTTTTAAAATTCCGCATTAATTTAGGTGATAAAGTTAGTGAATAATTGAAAGGCTTAATACAAATCATCACGCACCAAGATTTAAAAGAAAATTTCCTTTAGTGTTTTAACGTTCAGATTTTTGTAAATATTTTAAGTGATCATACACCTCTCAGTATTCCCTATTATCAGAACATAATAGCTTCCTGACAAGAGTTTTACCTATTTAAAAGTTAACATTCCCAAAATTAGATGACGGAGATTATTTTCCAAATTTTTAAAGATTACCGAGTACTTGACAATTATATAAAAAAGGCGCTCATGCCATTTTCTTAGATTATGTTTTCTCCGTAGAACAACAATAAAACTATCATCACCTTGTTGTCACTCACCAAGCGGGTAAGCATGACTAATATCGGTTAAAGGCACGACTACTGTTTGTTTAAAAATGCATTTCAGTGTTATTTGATACAGGAAGGAAATAATATTTGTTTCAAATCGGACTGATTATGTTTCAAATCAGCTAATATTTTTCAAATAAAGTTTCAGAAAAGTTTTTTGGGGGGGAGATTTTTAATAAAGAATATTTTATTGCGTTAAAAGACGACTAACACAGTGCGCTAATCAGCAAATTTAGGAACAAAAAAAATCCCTTCTAGTCAATTTAATTTAATTTTAAATTAGTTTTTGAAATACAGAAAAGTATTTTGCTGATTAGAAATATTGCATTTAATCGATTAGCTTGAAAATAAAATTCAAATAAAAGGCCTAAAAAAAGAATGTTCGTTTAAAAAAAATATTTTTCAACATTAATTATCGTTTTTTCTGATGTTTTTAAGCTTACCTATTTTTAAAGAGTATGTATTACGTCTATAGACATGTGAACTCGATAAAATATAAGAAAAAATGTGCGGAAGGCTTGAAATCTCTCTTCACTTTGTAGAAGAAACCATAGATTGATCCGACGTGTTTAGACATTTTTCATGAAGTTTTTTTTTAAATACTCAGGCTGATAAATCTAACCCACACTACTTGAAATGAAATAAAAAAAAATGGCATGTATTTTAAACACGGGTGTCCACTAACAGTAATATTAGAAGTATAAAAAATGGAATAAAAATGATTCGATTAATTTCATATATATATATATATATATATATATATATATATATATATATATATATATATATTATATAAAAGGCAGTGTGAATTAAAGTTTTTTTTATAACACCAACAAGGTCTATCTATTTAACATTTTATAGTGTTTTTTTTTCTAAATTATATTGGCGTCAAATATTATTCTACGTTTTCTTGACGTATGCTATCAATTACATAACTCAAGAACTTGCGTAATAAATCTTGTCAAGTTGGTTTATAACTGTGGTCTCAATTTCAGTTTTTCTTAAGCGCTCTTTCAAGCTTCTAGATTTTTTTCCAAGCTCAACCATTACTACTGAAATTATTTCAGTCCTCGCGTTTTATAGATTCTTCAAGACCCTCATCAGATCCCGGTATTTTTTCAATCTTTCAATTTGCATGGAATTCATTGTTTTATCGTATGGAATAGCAAAATAAATCTATCAGAATATTACCGCGTCTTCCTCGTTCACTCATATGATCTGTGTGGACGGGGAAATCGTATAATACCTTTTGACTGTGATTCTCTACCAGTGTCTCTGGATGGTATTCATGATATTCATAACATTCCCTTACCATTCCAATCCTGGCTTCATTTCTGTGCTTACTTAGGACATTCACATAGTATTGGTTATAATTATTATCTATCTATCTATCTATCTATCTATCTATCTATCTATCTATCTATCTATCTATCTATCTATCTATCTATCTCATGTTGTCTGTTTGTGTGTCTGTCATGGGAGTTGTTACCTCGCCCAGGCCGCATTTCTCACCCGATTTCGATGCGGTTTTCACCACAAGTTTAGCAATGGCTGCCGTAAGGACATGACGGAGCCCGATTTTTTTTGTTTGGAGTCAGGTCCCGAAAAAATCGATAATCGAAAAAATCTGCTTACAGAAGGAATGATCGCATTTCAACCAAATTTGACACCCTCTTAGAGTTTAACATTAGAATTGTTGTCCAGAAGTTTCATGACCACGGACCCCTAAACAGCGCGGAAAATTGATTAAATCCCAAAACCGATACGCCCAGATTGCGCCTGAACTGCATGTCGGTTTTTAGCGAAAACCGATCGGATTTATGCGGAGGACATTGGGAGTCACCATGTGAAGTTTCAACTGTGAGCGTTGCCCAAACAGAGTGCAATTCGACAATCGGTCAACCCTTGAAAATGTTTTTTCCAGTTGGGTATTTCATAAATGCAGATTAATTTAAGGTCATTATATGCGCGGCAAGAAATATGTCAGTCCGTACAGTGGAGTGGAAGAAAACATTTGACCTCAAATTCTGGAATCGGTGCAGGGCCATTGAAATTCGACTTTTTCATCCCTACTACCAGGTCTGACTTTGAGCCACAAATGACATATTCGATTTGTCAACATATTTGCTTTAATCGTCGCATCTTACCAAAATAAGCACTTCCTTTTTTCGCGTCTTTACTGAAAAAAAAACCCGCATACGTGCTGAGTGAAAATGGTTCCGCCCTCAGCAGTCCATTTTCCAATTCTTTAAAACTTTTCGCCTAGTCCAGGCCGCATTCCAGACCTGACGAGGAGTTAATTGCGCTAAAACAGCAGGGCTTTCTCCCAATCCATTTCAAAGCTAATGCCGGCAAACGGTTAGCGGCTTTTCGTTGTCGCACAAACCAAACGAGCAAACGTTTCATTGCAGCTCCTTGCATTCTCATCGCCGGCACCACGTGCGTTAGAGCCAAGCTGCATATGCAGCAATGCAGCTTGACATCGTTTACGACCAAGCCTTGCGCTAGCCAATCAGGCGCGCAACGCGATGTAATTTCAATTTCCGCTGCTATAGCTATAGAAGAACGTACTGAAAGTCTTGAAAGGTTGCAGACTGTTAACCAGCGCCGCCATGCACAGCGAGGGTTTTGTTGCCCACCAAAGCAGTTTTGGTTTAAGCTGGCGTTCAACTACGAGCCAGTTTTCAGGCTTTCCGGTCACAAAGACCTCCAAATAGGATCCATGTCAGTTGCCTGTGGGCATTGCAATGCCAAAAAATGACCTGGAGAGTCTGCAGGTTTGTGTTGTTCAGACGGTAAGGTACAGTTGACACCTTTTCAGGTGCTACCTGCTCCGTTGAAAGCTCTATTAGAGGGTTCCAGTCCAGACCCCAAACATTTCCTCGCTAAAATCAGACAGTACAATTGTGCCTTCCAGATGAGCTCTTTTGGTGGTAATGCCTTCCTCAAAGTCGGTGGGAATCCAACCTTCAAAGTTCAAGGTCAGGTTTACCACCGGATTGGGTCTCTTTTGCCGGAAACAGCCACTGATTCGGGCTTTCCACAAATATACTTCATAGCTGACTACAATCAACAGGCAGATGCCCGCATGGCCATTATTCGCGAGAACGATACAGGCCAGAACAATCATCCTCGCAGGGATATCATAATGACTCTCCAACAAATGCTCCAGTAGACAAACAGCTATGTCCGCAGTTTTAAGTATGCTCTCGAAAATAAAACTTCATCTGATTTCATTATTGTAATTGATGCTGACAAACGGCCTCAGGGAGAGCACGAACGTCGTTACAATGCTCCTGCAAGTAACGAAGTTTCCGTCAATGTCAACGGTGGTCAGCACAATAGAGGTGACATTGTATCGAATCGCGCGGCAGTGGGCTCCGAAGAATCAGTGAAACGTACCGGTCCTACGATGCACTGCAATACCCACTTCTCTTCCCTTACAGAGAAGATGGTTACCACTTTGGCATTCTGCAAAATGGGTCCACCTTAAAAACAGTGTCTTTGTACGCCTATCTATTGATGGTACATGAGGACTCATTCAATCATCTTTATCGAAACCGGCAACGTTTCCATCAATTCATAGTAGACATGGCTGCTAAGATGGAATCCGAAAGACTCTGTTACATCAAATTGAATCACACCAGGTTACGCTGCGACTTTTACATTCACCTCCGTGATGCTTTACGAAATGACGCTGATCCACGCAATATAGGCAAGATGTGCATACTCCCTGCAACGTTCACAGGACGCAAGACGCGATGACATACGTTCGTAAATACGGCAGACCAGATTCATAACTTTCACGTGCATTCCATAATGGTACGTAATTGCTAACGAACTTATGCCAGGGAAAACTTATAATCCTATATTGAAGAAATTCGAATAACTCCTAGCATCAAATTGTTTCAGAAGTCTACGTTACTTGGCATTGCAAATAATTTGCTCCGTTACTGAGATGCTTTTGGCCATATCACGTAGAAATACCGGTTTCGTAGTATCCTTAAAGTTAAGTAACGTCGAGCTTGGTCAGTACCTAGATGGGTGACGTTTTGGGAATAACAGGTGCTGCGACCTTGGCTATATGGCCGATGTCATGGACAATGGCTCAGAATTGGAATTTGGAGAGTCGAATTCCATTTCCAAAAATCTCTGTTGGGTTCGTATTAACTGACAGAGAATAGCCATAATACAAAAGCTCCGGTTGAAAACGAAAATCTTGCTAATGAAAATAATAATAATAATTATGAAGATTATTATTATTTGTAATAATAGTAGTTATATTAAGTGTTTTTTTGAATTACTTTTGCTTGGTACAACATCAAAATAATTAGGGCATCCCTTTATGGACTATATAGTAACTGGAATTTGAAAGTCAGTATTGATATTATTACTATAGGAATTTCAACACCAGTTTTACAGGTGGCTTTTATTTTAAATCAAATGAGAATAATATACTCGCTGTTAATGCTGAGTTTAATTATACTGGAGTTCTGAATAGTTTAATTTTTTTCTCAATTGAATCTCTGTGTATTTGTATGGGTTGTGTATTTAGAAGTCTCAAAGAATAGTTGTCCCGTATTCTCAATGACAAATATAGTTTGTTCTACTATTTATAATATTAATCCATTTTTGTTAGTCCTTATTTGCATTGATTAAAGCTGATTAATAGTACTTTTAAAGCGCCAACTAATATTATATCATTGTAAGAACTCTTGTATATCTTAAATATACATCATTATTCACTCCAACTGAATGCGTTTTTGCGTAATTTACAATAGTTTGGCACAAGACTATATTAGTAGAGTACTCAGGAAGTTAGATTTGTGATTTTCAGTGAGACGAGCTTGCTAATAATCGCAATAAAATAGTCATCAGCAAATTGCATTTTAAATATATTTTATATCAATTGTGATTTCGTTTATGTACTTCAGTTAACTTGACAGACTCGTTAGGTATAGACACGATCACGATCTACTTACTTTGGTTGTCCAATAAATTACTTCTGAGCGAGGTCCTGATATTATCCTAGTTTTTTGTATTGTTTCTTTTTATTCTGTTTTTTGCTTTATTGATTGATTTGTTTTTACCGCTTATCAACCACTAGCAGAAGTAGCCTGCGTTGCCGGGGACAACATTATTGAAAGGATTTCTAACTTAGTTTTGAAATATTATAATTCCAGAATATAACTATCTCATAAAAATTAACAAACATCTCGGATAACATAGAAATGAAGTTAAGAAAGCATATTTGTAAGTCTTAGACTTTTACAAAAAGATTTCTCTGTATAGCGTATTCTTAGTTTTTTTGATTAAATGCATAAATGTAAAGATTTCTTTTTCTTCCAAACCTGGAGCATCCAACATACTGTTGAGCATGTGATAAACGGCGATCAATTAAGCTTTATCCAGCCACTGACAGTGACTGACCTTGTGATTTGTTTATTGATATTGAAAAGCTAAGTTTAACTGGAAATTGCAGTCGTTTGATATTGAACTGAACATCTGTAAGGATCAAGTGAATTCTTGGTATATAGATACCTTCAACTCTCACACAACTAGAGAGAATTGTCACTTCAATAACGCGCGGAATTATTCTTTTCACTATACCTCTTGTGCCATTGCAGAGTTTTGGAGACTCAAAATTTAGTAGTAGCATTATTAGAAAGCCAATTTCCAGAACTAGTATAAATGATGTTAATCCATATAAAAGAAGAGAATTAAGGAATTTTCTTGGATAATTGATTGCATACAATTTATTAATGCCAGTATCAACAGATTTATAGGAGTAACATTTTCCAGCAATAATTTCCAAAAGCTCAAAATTTATTGAATTGAATGTGGAATGATTTAGTGCTAGATTTGCTCAAAATCAACTATTTACCATTTTGATAATCAGCATTTTGAGCATTGATGATTAGAAAACTTTTGTAATTAGTTCCAAAGTTGATAGTACTAAAGTACATATGGTTAATGGTTCAATGAAACCTTACTGTCAATTGGGACTCTATATTCTCTCAGAGTTAGCAAGTTTTCAACAAGTTGATTTGATGTCATATCTGCATACAGATATGCTCTCATATTTGTTGTCAATTTTAGAATATTTATATGTCTCCATAACATAGATTATTTCAATGACGCTCGAAATTCATTTGCTTAAGTACATTTCGAAATGGCAGGAAGTCACCAGAGAAAAACACAGGTATTCCAACCATTAGCGAACGATTGTTCGTAATTCCCATCAGTTTTTTGTCCAAAGTTCAAAAGCTTTCTCATGGTTTCATAGGAAATTTATACTCTGCAATCAAGTAACACCGTTTGATAATATGTGCGATTCCAGAATTATTTTTGTCTTTTACAAGACCTGGTAGTTCTGCAGATATTCCACCATACTGATTTGAATTATCACCCTCAACTATATCAAGACATGGAGTTGAATAAGACCTTTTTTTTGACACCCAACGGCATACATGTAGCATCATACATCACCGAAAACTTTTCCCGTTCTAATCATTTCCATTAATTACATCAATTTTAACTTGAACTATCTTGAAATTAAGTCAGGTCGGTTCTGTGACTTTTTTTCCAGGGAGAAGTACAGCATTAATTTCTTTCCAGTTGTGATTACAGGTGAATGTCATAGACCGATGTGTACATCCATAATGTGTTACGCATCTAATTGCATCTTGAGCTATTCCATGCATATATCTTTGACTGCCATCAAAACTTAATAGAAGAATTGGATGACCAATTTCGCCTATAACAACATCACTGTTAATGCCATCTCGTAGATGGATATATGAGGCTGCTTTTAAATCTGATTAGTACGACTTTATATATGTTAATCATTCACCCTCCATCTTGGCCTACATATCTACAACAAACGGTTGGAGGAGGTTTTGGTTTCTGTGAAGTTGATTAAATGAATTTTCTCGGATCATAAAAAGAAAGTATAAATTTATTATTAGAGTTTCCTTCAACTTGAGCAATTCCAAAATCATACCCATCTTCACCGTTAACAAAAACCAGAGTCTATTGTAAAGCATCATATGAACGATGAGTTCCGCATATTCTTTTTAGCTTATTATCACAAACTTCAAGAACAATATTACGATTTCCAAATTCTTCTCCTGTGGTTACTGCAGCTACTTCATCGCGTTAAGGTGTATTGAAACGTCGAGAATGTTCACTTAAGGGCCATTTGTCAGTATTTATAACAATCTAAATTTCAAGGGATGGTGACGATTCTAATGCAAATGTAAAACTTTTCGCGTTAATTTTTCTTTCATAAATCAGATCTTGCTGCTTTATAATTGTGTCAATTTCTGTAACTCTAGTTGCATCAACACTCTTTTGAGCCTAGGGAACCAAATCAGACAGACAACAAAATCCAATAAGGTGATACACTTTCCTTTGAACTTTAAATGCATGATTATATTCTCTCTCACGAATAATCTTAGCATAAAAAAAGTCATCTGGAATGCACTCTTATAGTTCTGAATGTTTTTAAGAAAATTCTTTGATTCATTGGTGGCACAAGTGAAACATTCCCTCCGTGGTCCAGGGGAAACTTGTAGAAGCTTCACCTTGACGTTACTACATAGCAGAAGGTTAATTTTTCCAAATTTTGCTCCACAGTAGGTACAAAGTTTTGTCATTAAACCAATCTGAGATGCATAAACAGTCATTGGATTATAATTCAGAGCGGCCGAATTGGAAAATTGTCTGTTGCATGAATGTCTTTCAGATCTTTGCACCTTCACTTTCATTTTGTCTTCCCTGCAGATTCCTTGCCCCCCCCATCTTTTCCAACCTGTGAGATCTCCGAACTTCAGATTTATTTTTTATTTACTTGTCGAATTCTTACCCTCGCCGGTTCCATTCTGTGATATCTCTCCTCTTCAGTTTTATTTTGTCCTTCTTGTTAATATGTAACTCTCATCTCTTCCAATCTGTGAGATATTAGAAACACAGGATCTTCCAATTCTTATCTTTGTTTCTTCAAGCTCTTGGTCTTTGTGCTGTTGACTTTGATTTTGTCTTATCTTTTCAATTCTGGATTTGTTACCGTGGAGCCACAAATACATTTGTTCTTCTGTTTCAAATAATCTCTGAATCTCTTTTGCAATGGCACCAGGAGATTTTCTTCCAAGAGATTTATTTTGGGTGGCATATTAGCTCACCCTTAACTAGTCTGCTTTCTTAACTGTACTTAATTTGTCAATAGATATGTCACTAATAAAGTACTTTCACTACTTTTTAATAGATATGTCACCAAAAAACTATGAAGTATAACTAATGTAAGGGTTAAAGTATGTTGATGTTTTCATATATAATAGAGACAGGTCAGATGCAAGTTTGAGCTTGTTAACTCAAGTTTACTATTACAGAATCTATTCTATGCACACGAGGGAACCTAATACCTCAACCTCAAATGATTTTTGATTCACTACAAATTTTATTAATGATTTTTTTTCAAAAATAGTCTATGTGAAATGTTTTTACTACATGAAAACCTCATTTTGCCCCCCGCCCTGTGCAGTATTACTCCGTTGTAAAAGAAACCCTATTCAATGGTTATGTTTATGGATTCTCTGTAAATGAATTTTTCAAAAGGACTAAATGTGAAAAGACATATAGAAACTATTTTTGGTGCCTAGGGGCGCACCATACCACGTTTCTCCTATATATTAATAGCCTGAAATCTAATCTAGTTCCAAACCTATCCCACGTGAAACTTTGATCAATATTACTCCATTAGATTTGATTTCCATACTGGAAATATGTAAAATCGTACGGGATCATTTATAGTATAGATTTGCAGGTGATTTAAAGCCATAAAATATTTTTATACTGCAAAAATCTTTTGGAGATAATAATAATTTACTAGTAGAAGTTTTATTAATTAACCCATAGTTGGGGGAAGAAAAGGTGGATTTTTATCTTTCTCAAGAGTATTTCCGAGTAAGTGAATATAAAGAACACGGCTGAAATTGAAACCCGATTTTCCGATTTCCAATTTCGTGACGCAATCCATTACATCTCCGCACATCCAAGTTTACAGCGCCTGATATTTATCAGGTTCGACGTTGCCTAACTTCGAACGGGGATTTCAACGTCATATGAACATAATTTTTTTATTCTGTGGTCTTCTGGTGTAATTATGTAAACAGACTGGAAGGCTCTCTATTCTTTCCTGATTTGGTAGTTATGTGCTTGACAATGTTAATTTGTAAGGACTTACGGCATTGAATAAGGTTATCTTTTAAAAGAAACTTTATTATGGTAAATTTAATTCCTTTTCTTATCTAACCAATTTTACTTATTCACGAATATTGAAATTATTTAACTTGTCTGCTACAAAATCACAAAGAACGTTTTTCCTGATTAGGGGACTCAACTGTTTTTAAATATGGAAAACCTCCTCAAAACATCTATGTTGCCAGATATGGAATTGGTTATTTTTATGGATTATATATTTTATCAGAAGCTTATTACAAGACTATAGAAATCAAGAAAAATCATGTCAGAATAACGAAAGTTCTGCATTTCCTCAGGGAAGAAATTCATAATGATGTATGAAATGTTCAGGGAAACATATGAAACTTTGGTTACGTTTATAGATAAATAAATAAATCGATAAATGCTTAAATTGCAAAGATTTCTGAGTAGTACCTAACGGATATTAATGCAGTTAAATTTAGGAATCAAATCTGGAAGACTATGTGGTTGATTTTGCTTCCATTTTGTAAATTAAATTACACTGGAAAGATGCGAAATAAATAGTTAGTCCAGAGTAGTATACTGAAAACAAAACGATAAGACATTTATACCTGTCAGTATTGATATGGGTAATTATCTCTCTACCATTTGACAGAAGTATCTCTCTCTCTTTTTCTCTCTCTCTCTCTCTCTCTCTCTCTCTCTCTCTCTCTCTAAATTAATACTCTAATTTCTAAACAGCAAAGAAAACACCGAGAAACAATTCTACTATATTTCCCAGGAAGTTATGACAATATGATAATAAAGAAAAAACAATCTATGTTGACACATAACCACATACATCCTGAAATACGAGTAAAATATGGAGTAAACCATGAAAACATGTAAAGGTATTTGGTGTATGAATGATCTTGAATAAAGAACATCACCATTCTATACGACAATATAATCAAAAATGTATCATTTGAATTTCGAAGATACAGCATTGAAGACACTTCAAAAGCTTGAACTCTAACTTTTACTGAGTTCGTATGACAGACATTTATGGAGTTTTTCCCGTTTAATAATTATCTTGAGAGTGGCCGATGCTGTTGAAATGTTGACACTCATTATCTGAGCCATCTCTCTGACACGTCGATGTGGGTTTTGTTCCACTAGTGTTTTCAGAGGTTGAATGTCAATTGCAGATGGACATTCCCTATCACTTGGAAAGTCAAGACTCGTATCCCCCACTGCGGCAATTCAGAATTCAGCGCCGTAATGTCCGGTGACATGTGGCTCCTTCAGCCTCTGCTCTCATTGTTGGCAGCTGTTTCAGAAGCTTTATGACCAGGTTTGAACTCATGTTCAGAATTAGGTCTATATTATGTTTGAAGTAAAATTCTGAAAGTGATTGACATAATAATTAAAAAATGGAGTTTAATCATTTGTAATCTCACTTATTATAAAACGCAGATTGTGTGTGTTTGTAAGGTCTATATATTGGATCGGATTTCCTACATTTTTCAACCGATTTCAACAAAACTTCACAGGACTACATAGAAGTACCTTGTAGTGGTTCTAACAGCGCCAAAAATAGGAAAAATATAATTGTTTTTGCACAAAATCAATTTGAAAACACGATTAAGAGACATCGTGAAAATGGAAGGGGGACAACTCACATTGTTTTGATTTCCTATATTTTCAGCCGATAAAACAAAACTTCACTTTTTTTTTTTTTTTTTTAGGTAGTGTTTTCTTATTCTCTTGCACACATTTTTTCTTTATTTTTAACATTCAGAATGCTTTAAAAATTCCATTTACAAGACAATTATTTATAATAAAATTCTATTCAATTGGGAGACTCATAACGATTGAAAACAATACTTTTGTTTGAGTTTGGGTTTGACCAATTTGTAAAAAATAAAAAAAATAAAGACTAATTAAGACATGCGTGTCCGTCAACCTTAAACAATAATCTAACGATCTCTACTGATTGTACGAATACAAACATCGGAATAAATTCTTTATCTTTAGGGAAAGATAATGAAATCTAAACATACACATGTTCTAACTAAAAATAATAACCGGAACGGGAAACTACTTTAAATACACATGGTGTCCAATTTTTTAATGTATTCAATAAGTAAAAATCATAAATTGTAAAAGATTATTATTACAGAAAGGCTACTAAATGAATAAAGTTTGTTAGATCATAATTAATAAACCCAAATAAAGTTAATATTTTTTGTATTAGAAACAACGAGTGGAAAATATATTCAAATCAGAATTCTAATTATGAATCACCACAAGCAAAATATGCAATTTTTTTACTGTATTCAATAAGTAAAAATCATAAATTGTAAAACTAAAAGATTACAGAAAGGCTACCTACATTTTTCAACCGATTTCAACAAAACTTCACTTTTTTTTTGGCATGTAGTGTTTCTTATTGTCTTGCACACTTTTTTCTTTATTTTTACATTCAGAATGCTTTAAAAATTCCATGTACAAGACAATTGTTTATAAAATTATTTTATTCAATCTGGAGTCTCATAACGATTGAAAACAATGTTTTTGTTTGAGTTTGGGTTGGACCAATTCGTAAAAAAACAAAAAAAACAAAAACTAATTAAGACATGCGTGTCCGTCAACCTTAAACAATATTCTTTGTCAATTTTATTTTTCAGTCTTTATGATGGTGGATACTTGATCTATCTCTTACTGTTATATCCCCGGGCAACGCCGGGCTCTACTGCTAGTGAGTAATATATTCGATGGATGTGCGTTGTGCTGTAATGGATATCGGCAAGCGGAGATGGCTTGTCGGGGCTGATTATATTACAGACCTTATTTTGGATTTCGTCAAAAATTTCGTGATATACAGCAAGAGTACCAGACAAGATATGGCACAAGTATTCAATGCACGTGCAGTTGGTAGAATTATAAATTTGCAACATTGATTCGGAGCAGAAAGAAATTCTGGCACGACAAAGGGAACTACATTCTTTGCAGTAGGCGTAGCTATTGATTCGGTATAGGCGCTCCACAGGCAGTCAATGGGAAAATGGGGGGCCAATTCAACCAATGCCAATATCATTTGTGGCTTTTTATTTCATTTTATGCTACTTATTCCTTCACGAGTTTACAGAAATTTACCAATCGTTCTTTTCTTCATTATATGTCCAAAATAGTTGGGGGTTATATTCTAAATAAATATTAAAAAAAATTCCTTATCTCTATGGTATAAAGAATAACACTTCAGCCTTATGATTCTTCTGTGTGGAAATTTGTAGCACTCTCTAACGCATAGGAGATTAAAAAAAAATACATCTCAGTCCAATACTTTTTCCATTGAATTAATGGATTTTTTCCCTGCAATACCAGGCGTTTTCTGATACTTGTGTTCTTCGTCGTTTATGAATATATTAATGTGACAGTTGAATTTCAGCCCTAGCTTTATTTCGGCGTTTCTGATACATTACTTACACCCATGAGCATTCTATCATCTTTAAATTAATGGCAATCTTTCATCGTTTTCTTCATCTAATAGAAATGTTTGACATCCGAACGTGCCAAAACATTTTGTGTCGTTGCGTATACTTATACATGTACCTCTACAGATGATAAAACTTGGTTAGTTTCGAAATTCTCTTAGAATATACAAGTTAGATAGATTCCATGGGTAAATAGATTTCGTGTATGCGTATTTCTCTTTTGTTAAATACCCTTAAAACCTGCTCTGTTCATATTCAAGTCAGTTATTCTCAACAATGGTCACGTATTATTTCTACAGATTTGTTCATGATGTGGTCGCACATAGCGTGCTAGGAAATATTTTTCGAGTGTTCATTTAAAAATGAGTTTTGATCTTATGTAAACAAAAGATTAGAGCTTATCACTAATAAACCTTTCTCAAGCAATACATTTTCTCATGACAGAATCAATCTGTACATCCACCATTCGTCCGGGCATTGGATGTTGTCGCCATATCTGGTCTGCTTCTCCCGTTGTATATCTCAAGACTCTTGACAAAGTCCAAAGTTTCTGTAACTTAATCGATCCTTACTAGGCAACTCGACCTCAGTCACTTCCCTCCCCACCTACTTGACATGGTTTCCTTCTTTCTTTTCGAGAAATATTTTCATGTCAATTTTTCCGATGAGGTTTCCTCATTGCTGTCTGAATTTGCCAACTAGGTCTCACTGTTTTGATGCTGAGTTAGTTAAATGCAACTGTATATTTTATTCTAACAGTTTCTTTTCCTGCACCTGTAGAACTCCGTTTTTGTTTCTGGCTTTTCAGACAACAGACAAGTACAATCTTCAAAAATCGAAAAGAAACGCCAATTACCCTCTTTTGTCTTCCTGATCTCTTTCTCCTCACCAAAATCTTCTCACTCTCTTTTACCCTTGTGTCTTTCACCCTTAGTACACATTTGTGTCTTGCTTTGCTTTGAAATAATAAAAAGAAAAACTAGGGTTAATGACTATAAATAACATTATAAATTTTATTTTATTCAATTAGCACACTTTGCGCTGCTATCGGCTCTCTTCCACGCCATCTCCCAATTGTATTCAATGGCTAGCCGGTTACTTTTTTACCGGGATTTTGAGCGTAAACCATTCGAACTACAAGAGATGTAATTATTTTTGAAGTTACATTCATCTCGCATTTGCCTAAAGTGTTAGGACCTAAAAGACAACGTATGGTTTGAAACCTGAGTTTCCTTCTCCTAGAATGGTTGCCATTCAAGGCTATATGATCCGCTCAGTCCTGTAATCATGAATGTTATGCATTAAACCTAAAAAAACTAAAAACAAAACAAAACAAAACATGGAAGAATCTGTTTCCATTTCTTTCATCCTCTTTAATTTTAGAGATTCCTAAAGGAGCGTAGTGCCATTTTCTGCAAAGACCGCACTGTGTCATGAAGCTGATAGTTACCATGTAATTTTGATGCCGATTAAGAGCGTCTATTTATTTCCTATATCTAATTTACATTCTATTTTAACATTTTCCAATGAAAAAATCTCATTGATTTGTTCAAACATGGTGGTATCTATGTAAATAGTGTTGACACTATTCTCACATGTGACGGAAAAATCATCAAAAATAGTAGTTTTACAGAATTTGTAAAAGACTTGAATGTATTCACGCCTCTATTCGGGGCTTATTCATGACAATGGTTACTTATTTTTGGTTTGTTGCCGATCAGTCTGTATGACAATGAATAGGCTTTTCATGACAAAGACGTATTACCACAATAGAAAAAGTTTAATGATTTGTCACGCACTCACGGAAACACGCATGATCAGTTGTTCAAATATATATCAATATAAAAATAAACAGACATATGCAGAAAAGAAATAAAGTCAGTGATTTCGGCTCCATGATCAGTAATAGAAACGGTATGATAGCAAAAAGTAGATCAATAGATCTATCTATTAAAGGTGAATATAAATACATATTCGATATATACCAAACGGTTATAATTATGAGAAATATTTATTATTTCTTAATGGTTTTAGTATAATATATATATATATATATATATATATATATATATATATATATATATATATATATATATATATATTACCAAATATATATATATATATATATATATATATATATATATATATATGTTATTGTCCGATTCCTTGTACTACAGTGATAGTCCAAGGTAGAACCAATAAAGAAGAACTCGAACACAGGCATAGAATAACACAGATATATTACA